CCGGCTTGTCTCAAACTCCTGGCCTCAAGCAATCCACCCACCTTGGCCTCTCTAAGTGCTGGGATTACAGGCTTGAGCCACAGTGCGCTGCCTTTTGTTTTTCTATGTGAATAAAATTATCCTAGCTCTCTAACAACATCTCAATATCTCTTTTGCATTAATAAAACCAAGAATGCCACTTACAAATTATGAAGCAGTTCTTAGAGAATACAAATCACGGTCAAGGCAATAAATGCCCCTATCAAACATAAGACTTGGTAGTATAAAAGGGAAGTAAACATGAACTCTTGTATTTTATAGAAGAGTTTTAAAAAAGAATTAAGTTATGCCAGCCTGAAATTTTACAATTTCATTGAAACTAATCAGAAATCATTTCAAGGGGACCTAAGGCTAAAGTTGATTTGTTTTCAAAAAAATAAAACATTTCCCAATTCTATTTTTTATTTGAATAGAATAAGATACAATGTACATACAATTATATACAATGTATATAATCCTGTTTAAATGTTCCTTATTTATAATATTTCCAAATTACTTTCTTTTTATTGTAAGTCTTAATATTCACATTTTATAGATGAGGAAATTTGAAGTGATTTGAGGATTCAGAATGGAGGAAACAAAGATGAGATTAAAATACAAAAAGACCAGGGTTTAAATACAATATGGCCAGCAACTAACTATGAACAAGTTCTTCTAGCCTCCTGGACCTGTTCTTTAATCTGGAAAACAGGGATAATACCACCCACCTCTCAAATGATTGATGTAAGACAAACTATCTAACAAAATGCTTAGTTCATTATCAGGCATTCAACTAACAACGGCTCTCCCACCAATCCACAATCCCATTTTCTTCACATGAAACAATGGATATAGAATCAATCTACAGTGCTGTTGGAGGTAAATGATATAACATGCATGCAGAGTGCCAGGCAAGCACAGGGCTCAATACATTTGTTTTCTCCCTCCCTCTCTTACCCTAGCTACCACAGCTACTAAGTGGTTGAGCCACAATCAAATCCAAATATTGGTTATATTGTGGAACTGCCTCTGCACACACATTCCATTTATAGTTGTATCTTATTTAACCTGGCTGCTTAATCTATTATTTTAATGTGTCTGCCAGTAAAACCAAATTCATTTCTAGAGTAGCTCACTTTTCAGTAATTACAAAAAAAAGATTAACATTTCTGACTTGAAAATAGGTATTTTTTCAACACATATTTCTACTAGAAATTTTGTGATATATATTCGTATAATTTATAAGCTATTATAAGCTGAAAGATAGTTAAGCTTCTCCTTGTCCACCTTGGGCTGGGGGGAGAGGGGGTGGTCACTGAAGCGGGGGGAAGAAAGGTAGTTAAAAATCTAATCCTTATAAGCAGGGCATGGTGGTACACTTCTCTAGTCCCAGCTACTTGGGAGGCTGAAGCAAGATAATCACTTCAACCCAGGAGTTGAAGTCCAGCCTGGGCAATATATCAAGATCCCATTCTTTTTTTTTTTTTTTTGAGACGGAGTTTCGCTCTTGTTAGCCAGGCTGGAGTGCAACGGCGCGATCTCGGCTCACCGCAACTTTCGTCTACTGGGTTCAGGCAATTCTCCTGCCTCAGCCTCCTGAGTAGCTGGGATTACAGGCACGCGCCACCATGCCCAGCTAATTTTTTGTATTTTGAGTAAAGATGGGGTTTCAACATGTTGACCAGGATGGTCTCGATCTCTTGACCTCGCGATCCACCCGCTTCGGCCTCCCAAAGTGCTGGGATTACAGGCTTGAGCCACCGCGCCCAGCAGGATCCCATTCTTAAAAACATAAATATTCCTTAGGATATTGGATGCCTAAGCATATAAATGACTCCTTTGGTACACTGAGTTCAAAGATATTAGGTATCTTTTCATTTTTTATTTTCCCCATGTTCTCCTAAATAACGAAGTAAGGTGATAAATGTGGTAAATAAATAAATATATATATATATATATATATATATATGCATAAATGAAACAGATGAGTGAAAAACAGATGAGTAGACCAGATGTGCATTTAAGAGCAATGACCTTCAAAACTGGCAGGGAGCTATTAACAATGTTCTTCACAGAGGAGTAATTATACTACAACCCTCCTATGTATACTTTCATTTCCCATGATCTACAAATACATTTGCATATCAGAAACAGTGAAAGAATAGTCTGGTAACTGTGGCAACCTTCATTGAGAAGATATAAGGCATTTTCATTACCTTAATAATTACATCCTAAATGCCAGATCGGAATAAATGCTGCATTATGAAAGGATAGACAAATACTTGGAAGGAATTTCCTACAACTGAAATTTACCAAATGTAACTATCATGACTCCAACCCAGTGATACATTTCTGATGCTGTAATACCATAAGTAGTCTCTGATTATGCTGAGGCACTAAAATCATTCTAAAATAGATACCTTATTGAAACAAAAATATGGCATACAGCACTTTAAGGAAACCCAGTTCAAATTATCACCAAAAAAAAAATTAAAATATACAGTATTACAGTGCCTAAAATGTTGGAAATATTGCTTAACCTAATAAGAAGCTCAAAGATCCTTTCCATACTGATTTAAAAGACCCTGTGCCCAATGTTTAATAAGCACACGCACACAAACACACACACACACACACACACGCATGCACACACTACAGAAATGCATGAGGGGAAAGTTGATAAGAAAAGCTCAATTTCTAAATGTTCAAAAAAGCTACATGCAGAAAATGTTAATTTCCTATAAGATACTGTCTTTTTTCTACATTTACTCAAATGGGTAAAAACAAAAGCAATTCACAATAGCGGTGTCAAAGAATGACAACATTACATATACTTTACAATCCCTGTGTTTTTCAGATTCTGTGCAAGAATCATAATGCACAATCATTAACATGTCTAGACAGTGGACACTTACTACAGTGTGGCCATATCACACTAAGCTTAATTTTTAAGTGGCCTCGATATTTTACAAAATTAAATTGTAATAATGTAAAATGAGAGCAGTAGGAAAATAAGTACAACCATAGTAGGATATGGCACAAATCCATTGAGTCCTGTTTAACTCAAAAATATTCTTTTCCTCAATAGCAATAAAAACTACCCACAATTATAATACCAATAAGCAACCTCAAAGGTTTCACTACTGGGGAAAAAAAATAACTATATGCCTCCTTGCAATACTTTAAAACCACAAGGTTAACAATCATTTCTAGTGAAATGGTGATGTGAATTGTGTTTCGTTTGTATTCCAGACATTGGCAAAAGTTAATGACCTGCCCTGGAAATTATTTCACATAACCCAAAAGTATTCTTAGGACTCATGCAGTATAAAGCTCACACTGTCCTTGATATGCTATTGGATAAATGCCTTAAATTTTAAAACAAAATGATAAAGACTTTTAAAAAGCTCTAGACAATATACTCAAATGGCGAAGATGTCAAGTCAATGTATTCTCCTACCCCAGGAAAACAAAAAACAAAAAAACTGGTATGGCACAATGATAAAATAGGAACAAAAAGTAGTATTCCACTCATTCAGCAAGGAAATAATACACAGCATCTCTCTATCATATTCAACTACAAAAATCCTTTCACTTGATGGCTAGCATCTTTATGACTGCTTAGTCCGTATTTAAGTGGCCTTAAAAAGAGATTTTGTGTTCTTTCTCTGCCCTCATGTATCTTTAGCAGCAGTCAGCACTTATGCCCAGAGCTGGTTTCGAGGGGAGGGAGGAAAGGGAAAGTGAGGAGAAGGCTGAACTGAGCACCGAGTCAGCAGAGAGCAGCTGCTCTCATACACTACCCAGCATCTTTCTCACACACCATTATTTTCCGCTATTGAGCACTGTCAGCAAAAATAAATAAATAAGGAGGCGGGGGGCAAGGAGACACTGAGGGTAGGACTCAGGCCGACAGTTTTTATCTGTCACATCTGAGCCAGAAGCCTCCTCTGGTTTCCTGCTGTAAAGGCAAAGGATCAGGTGAGACCCCTCCGGGTCTAACTCAGTTTGCTTCTCCACAAAGAGCAGTTTCCGGCGATGAGCGCAGGATCCTCCTGGCTGATGAGCTAAACACCCGGGCTTTGTCAATGTTTTCAATCTCTGACTTTCTCATAGAGGAGGAGAGAGGGCTGTGACTGCATTCCTGGGAAAGACTACTACTCCTGACGTGCACACAGCAGTAGTTGAAGGAACAGGAGCAAGAGGTTGTAAAAATCCCTTCAAAAATACCAGGTTCTGAAAGAAATGCTGTGCAGCATTACCGTATTGTTGGCGTTTTTTTAAGTCGCCGATTCTTCCTGGCCACCGCCAAGCCCCAAATCGCTGGGACTTGTTGCTAAATCTTTACCTCACACGCCCCAGAACCGCCCAACACAATAAGATTTGGGGATCGAAAGGCGGGAAGGGGCCTAAATCTCTAAAGCCCAGAGGGTTGGGCTCCCTTCAATAGGCCACTCTGCATGGGCTGCATTCAGTTCTACCTTCTGAAAGCTCTGACTCACAAATGCTGGGGGGAGGGGGGGCGGAATTATGACATAAACCATTATCCTTCCAACCAAAGAAAGATAAGAAAAGCCAGCCATACGTCCTTGCCTGGCCAGAGAGCCAAAGCCTGCGCCCCCGACGGGGCGGCCGGGCTACGAGCCTACCGCCCTGCCCGCCTCCCTGCCGGCGCCCGGGAAATGTGCACCCTACCCGGGCGGGCTCGAGGAGCCAGGACGGGGCGCCCTCACCCCGGGAGGGCAGGGGAGGACTTGGGGGTGTGGGACGCGGAGACTAGCCCAGTGCCGGCGGTGACACACCGGGTGCCAGGGCTCCGGCAGGGGCTCCAGTGAAGGCACCCTGCACTGGGGCGGTCTGCCGCAACCGGGAACGGACAAAGCACGACACTGGGGCGACCCCCGGGCGGCGGCCGCCGCCTGCCAAGTTGGCCGGACTCGGGCAATCAGGGGCTTCCGCGGGCGGGGCGGCGCGGCGCTGACCTGGATGGTGCAGGTGTACTCGCTGTCGTCCAGCAGCCGCACAGTGCAGCTGTACTCGCGCTCCAAGCTCCTGCTGCTGCCGCTCATCAACCTGCTCAGCATCTTCCCGCCCGCCCGGGAGCGACGCGGCGGCGCTGCGGACCCTGAACCAGGCGTCCCTCAGCCCGGCAGCTCCGCGCCGACCCCTGGCACTTGCACCATCACCCCGGCCCAGTCGCTGTCGCTGCCTCCTGCTGGCCTCCTTCCTCCTCCTTCGCCTCAGCCACCACCGCCTACCCCCAGCCCAGATCAAACGCCGGGCTCTGTTTCCTCAGAGCCCCACTGCCAGTGCCCAGCTCGTGGGGCGGGGCCTCAACCTGAGGGGCCAATGGAGTCATCGCGGCGGAAACGAGTGGCAGACCGAAGAGCCAATAGAGATACGGCACTGGGATGATGGGCGGAGTAAAGAAGCAATCACAGAAAAGCAGTCGGAGCTAGTCAAGCCGGACCAGCCCTCTAGCGTCCCAAACTAGGGGCTCCTGTCCGCCCCGTGGTTCCTATGGTTGCTGTTTCCCCTCCCCCGGGCCAGGTGTGAGCGCCCAACTGGATTGATGTCTGCCACGTGAAATACACTTGAGCTGTGTTTCCCGAGCTAATCTCCGCATCCTGCAACACCGCGGTTCCCGCCCTCTTGGGAGCGGGAGCGGGGAGGCGGCGGGTGCTGGATCACAGTCCCTGCACCTGCAGAATGCGGGTACCTCTCGCTCCAGATCAGGCGACTGCCCCCACCTGTGCTGTATCCTAAGTCGCACTGTCTGGCCTCTGTGCTCCAGCCCTCTTGTTTTGGGGAAGAGGAGCTGCTTAAATAAAAGCTAAAGGGACCTCAGAGGTTCTTAAGTACCCGGGTTTAATCCCAAAAAAAACTCCCCACTCTAACACCCTTTGCTTCCTTCTTTTTATTTTAGAAGACAAAAGGAGATTGCTCCTTCAGCTGGTAGGGAGCAGAGGAAGCAATGAATCTTCCTGGAATTATGTCTTCGGACTTTCCCAATAAAACACCAAAATATGTCAGGAGGTATCCATCACAAAGAATGGTCTCCTTCTCTTTGTCATCCCCAAATATACAGAGTTCAAGTTTTTTACCAAAAACTTCACTAAGAAACATAATATTCTCTCTCAAAGGTTCTTGATGGGAGGAAATGGTTATAAAATAATCGTGTAAGCCCGGTGCAGTGGCTCACGCCTGTAATCCCAACACTTTGGAAGGCCAGGGCAGGCAAATCACCTAAGGTCAGGAGTTCGAGAACAGCCTAGCTAACATGGTGAAACCGCCGTCTCTACTAAAAATACAAAAAATTAGCCAGGTGTGGTGACAGACGCCTGTAATCCCAGCTACTTGGGAGGCTAAGACAGGAGAATCGCTTGAACCCAGGAAGCGAAGGTTGCAATGAGCCAAGGTAATGGCCATTGCACTCCGGGCTGGGGGACAAGAGCAAGACTCTGTCTCAATAAATAAATAAATAAATAAATAGGGCCAGACGCGGTGGCTCATGCCTGTAATCCCAGCACTTTTGGGAGGCCGAGGCAGGCAGACCACGAGGTCAAGAGATTGAGACCATCCTGGCCAACATGGTGAAACACCTTCTCTACTAAAAAAAGAAAAATACAAAAATTAGCTGGGCTTGGTGAGTCCCAGCTACTGAGGAGGCTGAGGCAGGAAAATCGCTTGAACCCCAGAGGCCGAGGTTGCAGTGGGCCGAGATCGTGCCACTGCACTCCAGCCTGGGCAACAAGAGCAAAACTCCGTCTCAAAAATAAATAAACAAATAATTGTGTCTACATAAAGCATTAATGTAATAAATATATTAATTTAAAATAATAAAATAGGCATAATTTTCTATTTTTTCACTTACACTGTTCTTGTTTATAGGTATAACGTATAACAAAAATGAAACTCTACATTGGCCTAGAAAACTAGTGTCTTCGGATTCCAATATTTTTCCCAATTTTTTTTTTGTATGAGGAGACTCACTCTCATTCATTCTCTCTCTCTTTCTCTCTCCCTTTATCTATCTCTTCCTCCCCCTCTCCCTCTCCCTCTTCCTCTTTATTACCATACTAACCTGGACTGCTCTTACTGGTTTCATTCTCCTTTGTGGCATTTAATAGCCAGAGGAGCAAGTTTCTCTTTTCAGGGTAATTCTGGTGGAGTTAGTTATGATTCTAGAAATAGTAAGTCAAGTGTTCCAGGCATAAAATCAGGCATGGGCTCCACTACTTTGTAGCTTCAGCAGATACTCTGATGCCTGAAACATAACAGATATTCAATAAATGTTGAACTGAAGTAAATGGAATTGATAGATATTCTACAGCATTTAAATCCCAGAGGAAGAAGCCCTGTGAAGAAATTCAAAATTTCAGGAAGATCCTGGAGACAAGTAAAATTATTAATATGCCAAAGTGATAGTCTACAAACCTCAGCTTTGTTATATACCTGGAAGAAGATAATAAAATATTTCAAGCTGGGCTCCGTGGCGCACGCCTGTAGCCCCACCTACTCGGGAGGGTGAGGCAGGCATTGGCTTGAATCCAGGAAGGAGAGGTTGCAGTGTTGCAGTAAACCAAGTTGTGGGCCACTGCACTCCAGCCTGGGTGACAAAGCCCCCCCCTAAAAAAAAAAAAAATATATATATATATATATATATATATATATCTCCAAACAAGAACAACTTGTCGAAGGCAAAAGTTACTGTTTGTTATAGAATCAACAAGAGCAAGAAAAAATGTCCAAGCTAGAGGAAGCCCAATAGTATAATGGTAGGAAAGTGTATTTAACAGGTTATGCAAATAAGGAGCTGTTAGAATAAAAAGGCAAAGCACTATTAATCCAGAAAAGCTCTAAGAAACTGAATGCAGTCTTTTTTCAAAGTATGCCCATAGATACAATCAATAGGGGTAAGATTGTGTCTGCTATGTCGATGTGTTAAGTAGCATCCTTGTTCAGTCTGAGAAAATCATATCTGAGACTCAGTGCAGTGGCTCATGCCTATAATCCCAACACTTTGGGAGGCCAAGGCAGGCAGATCGCTAGAGCTCAGGAGTTCAAGACCCACAAGGGCAATAAGGTGAAACACTGTACAAAAATAAAAAATTATAATAATACAAAGATTAGCTGGGTGTGGTGGCACATACCTGTAGTGCCAGCTACTGGAAAGGCTGAGGTGGGAGAATTGCTTGAGCCTAGTCGGGGGAGAAAGTTGCTGTGAGCCAAGATCACACCACTGCACTATAGCCTGGTGACAGAGTTAGATCCTGCCTCAAAAAAAAAATTTTTTTTAATGGCATATTAGCTTAGATGCTCACCTCACTGAAAGACCAGTTAGATATTCATTCATGCTTAGGTATAATATTCAGAGAGAACTTCAAACTCTGCCTTTTTTCTCTGACATAAAATGCTTTCTGAGAAAAACAGAGAATGAAAAAATAATGGAAAAAAGAAAGAATCGAGATGTATGCCTCCACAACAAAGCTTATGAGAAGAAGCCCAGGCTGGGCACGGTGGCTCAAACCTATAATCCCAGCACTTTGGGAGGCTGAGGCGGGTGGATCACGAGGTCAAGAGATCGAGACCATCCTGGTCAATAAGATGAAACCCTGTCGCTACTAAAAATACAAAAATTAGCTGAGCATGGTGGTGCGCACCTGCAGTCCCAGCTACTCAAGAGGCTGAGGCAGGAGAATTGCTTGAACCCAGAAGGTGGAGATTGTGGTGAGCTGAGATCGTCCCATTGCAATCCAGTCTGGGTAACAACAGCAAAACTCCATCTCAAAAAAAAAAAGAGAGAGAGAGAGAAGAAGCCCAAGAGGAAATAGAAAGGAAGGGCTTATATAAAACCAAACTGATGACGATTGGAGAAGATGGTGCTGTAGGAGCAACTCAGGATTGCAGCTCCCAGTGAAAGCGCAGAGGGTGAGTGGATGCTGCATTTCCAGACGGATCTCTATTGCCCATAGACCAGGAGATTCCCAGGTGTAGAAGTTCCATCGGTCGCCAGTGCGGCTGTTTTGGCTGGCGCAGTTGTTTCGGCCAGAGCCGCAGCATAGCAGCACTCCATACAAAACACAATGGTCTGGTTGCCCTGTTAAACAGGCAATTGGAGATTTAGGAAGGCAGATTCGCACATTCATCTGATTAAATGGGACTTAAACAGAAAGCCAGGCCAGAAGATTCCTGGGCAGCGACGTTGTTTCAGCTGGCACAGTGGGTCGCCGCATGCAAAAACACACAGATCCCAGCGCCCTTTCAGCAGGCGACTGGAACACCTAGGAGAGAGTCAACCATTCAACTTAAAAAAAAAAAAGGGCTCTGAGGCAGGGAGCCAGGTGATCAAGCTCAGTGGGTCCCACCCCCACAAAAACAAACAAAATAGCAATTGGAAATGCTCCGGGTTGAGAGTTTCACGGCAAGCACAGCTGAACCCAGGACGGTGCAGCTAGGTGGGAAAGAAGTGTCTGCTATTACCAAGGCACTCCACCCCTACGGATGTACTCTGCCATTGCTAACCCAGTATGCCATTGCCGAGGCAACATGCCGTAACAGAGAGAGTCCGCCATTACAGAGGTGGGCCACCATCACCATGGCAGTTCTAACCACACCCACACAAAGAGGACTACAGGGAATTACACACGGCAGCAGGTCGGAGCCCACGACAGCAGGGCGGAGCCCACGGCAACAAGGTGGAGCCCACGGCAGCAGGACGGAGCCCAGAGCAACTCAGCATAGCCTCTGCAAGCAGGCAGTGACTAGACTGCCTCCTTGCTGGGTAGCACAGTGCAACGAATACTCATAAATAAATCCCTAACTCCCCGGGACAGAGCACCTGAGGAAAAAAAGGGGTTTTATGAGTTCTGCCGCAGCAGACTTAAACGGACCTGCATAGCAGCCCTGAATGAACAACAAAGCTCACAGCTCAGCACTTGAGCTCCTATAAAGTACAGACTGTCTCCTCAAGCAGCTCCCTGACCCCCATATATCCAAAGAGTCACCTCACAAAGGACTAATCAGACTGACTTGGTGGGCATCATTCTGGGACAAAGATAGCAGAAGAAGAAACTAGTAACAACCCTTACTGTTCCTCAGCTGCTACAGGTGTTCCCCAGGCAAGCAGGGCCTGGGGTGGACCTCAGCAGTCCTGCAGCAGAGGGGCCAGACTGCTAGAAGGAAAACTAAGAAACAGAAATACTTCATCATCAACAATCTGGATGTCCACTCAGAGACCCAATCGGAAAATCAGCAACTACTCAGACAACAGGTGGATAAATCCACACAGATGGAAAGAAACCAGTGCAAAAAGGAGGAAAACAACCGAAACTAGAACACCTCACCTCTTACAAGGGACCACAACTCCTCACCAGCAAGGGAACAAACCAGGATGGAGAATGCGTGTGATGAAATGACAGAATCAGACTTCAGAAGGGGGATAATAAGTAACTTCCGTAAGCTAAAAGAACATGTTCTAACTAAATGCAAAGAAACTAAGAACCTTGAAAAAAGATTTGACGAAATGAAAACAAGAATGGACAACTTGGAGAGGAATATGAGTGAATTGATGGAGCTGAAAAACACAACACGAGAATTTCGCGAAGCCTGCACAAGTTTCAACAGCCAAATTGACCAAGCAGAAAAACGGATATCAGAGGTCGAAGATCAACTCAATGAAATTAAACAAGAAGGCAGGATTAGAGGAAAAAGCCCAAAGAGGAATGAACAAAGTCTCCAAGAAATGTGGGACTATGTGAAGAGACCTAATCTACGTTTGATAGGTGTACCTGAATGTGACAAAGAGAATGAATCCAAGCTGGAAAATACTCTTCAGGATATTATGCAGGAAA